ATCTGAGTCACCTCCTGTATCAAATAAAAACCAGAACTGAGACCTGAGATAAACTTGCAGTCCAGAGAGTGCAAGGGGTTCACAATTTACCCACTTTGCTCCAAACTTGTAGCAAAAGGTAGATACAATATATAGAAAGAAAGCATTATAGTAATACAGTGGGCCCCAAAACAAGATTAAACATATTTTGAGGCAGAAATGGAGCAGAAAACAAAGTGATGAAGTGTGGATCTGCTGGGCCTTTGGCATGAAATAGCCAGAGACCATCATCCCTGCTGATGCGTGAAGGCCTCAGTGCTTCAGTGAGCTGAGTCAGGGCTGAACCGAAGCAACCTTGCTGCTTTTGACTGTATAAAATGAAAAGGCCACAGAATAACTTGTGCTGATATGCATGCTAGGCTTCAGATTATAAGAAACCATGAGCTTGGGATCGGGTGGGGGTGGGGGGGACAAGAACCAAATCATTCACGTGCTGGTTCAATTACAGATACACTTGCAATATTCCATAGGGAAAAAAAGTCCCCAAATTCACAATCAGAGAAATAAAATCTGAAATCAGAAATTAGTATTGAGGAGTTTACATAAAACATTTCCCAAGGGTAAGATAAAGGGTAAAAATGCTCAGAGAGCTGTTGTTAGAACAGTTTGATTAAGAAACTCCAACATAAGTCTGTTAGGAGTCCCAGAAAAAAAGACTGGAAGAAATCACAGATAAGCAATAATTGACACAGTAATAGTGGAGAATTTATCAAAATTTAAAAAGACCTAAGTCCTTAGTTGGAAAGCACTACAATGTAGTGGGTGAAACTACAGAAAATTGGGGATAAATCATCTTACAAGCTATTAGAAAGAAAACACATTGACTACAAAGGAGTCTCAGCTAAACTGACAGCATATTTCTCATCAGCAACAATAAAATGAAAGGTGATATGAAAATAATATCTTAAAAGTACTACAGGAAAATAGCTTAAATTTTTTTTTTTTAATTTTTTTTAACGTTTATTTATTTTTGAGACAGAGACAGAGCATGAACGGGGGAGGGGCAGAGAGAGAGAGGGAGACACAGAATCCGAAACAGGCTCCAGGCTCTGAGCCATCAGCCCAGAGCCCGACGCGGGGCTCGAACTCACGGACCGCGAGATCGTGACCTGGGTGAAGTCGGACGCTTAACCGACTGCGCCACCCAGGCGCCCCTAAAACCATTTAAATCACCTAAGAGCAAGGGCAAAATTAGGATATTTTCAGATATATAAATTAAAATGTTTGATCATCCACAAACTTCTATGAAGCTAAATAAGATACATGTTAACAAGAATAGCAGGAGGGAAAGTTTGGGATATAAGGAGCAATAGTTAATATAAGAAAAGCAATGTTAATAAAATTTCATTGTAAAAGTTAAAAAACTTTCATAGAAAATTTTTTATTAAAAGGGTAAAACTAAGTCTTTGAACATAAACATGATGGGGTGTCAATGGGCAGCTAAAACTTGTTAACATATGAATCATGTTCGGAGGAGGAGAAAAATAGAAAATTCATTTAGGCTTCATAAGAAAATTCATAGTGATGAATGTTTCTAAAAATGTTAGTGATCATAAAAGAAGAGAAATACATCTCACGGCTTTTAAATTAGCAGAAGTAAAAAGAAGGATAGTAAAAATGGTATATAAACGAGGAAAAAGTAAAAAGGAGGTCAAAGAAAGAAAACAGAAAAGACTGTAGAAATACATCCACGCATATTCAATCACAGTGAATGTAAGGGGATTATTTTCACCAATTAACTGGGGAGATGTTGTTTAAGGGTGCAAACTTGTAACCAGTAGATAAATAAGTCCTGGAGATCTACTGCACAACATAGTGATTATAGTCAACAATACTGTATCATAAATGTCAAAGTTGTTACAAGACAAACTTAATTGTTCTCACCACAAAAAAAGAAGGAATTTTGTAATGTGAAAGAAGCTTTAACTTATGCTACAATGGTAATCATATTGCAATAAGCAAATGGATCAAATGAACACATTGTACACCTTAAACTTACACAATGCTGTATGTTAATTATATCAATTAAAAATGTTGACAGCATATGAGACACATTTAAGTTTTTAAAGTTTTATTTATTTTTATTTTTTAAATTAAGTTTTAACATAAAGAATCCTAAAGAGCCAACATTTGTGGAGGCGAGGGGGATGAAAATTAAAAACAATGAGAAGCCATGTAAACCCAATCTAAATTGCTGAAAATTTAGAAGTCTGACCACACCAAGTGTGGGTGAGACTGCAGAGCAAGGCAAAGTCTAATCTGTAGCTAATGGGAATATAAATGGGTACAGTCACCATGGAGAACAACTTGGCAATACATAGTAACTATAAATACCGAGAATATTCACCCCGGCAATCCTACTTTCATATGTGCTATATATATTCTAGAAGAACATGCAAATACGTAAGGAAAGACATTACAACAGTGTTTGAAGTTGCATTATGATAGCGAAAAGTTGAAAACTGGTTGCATACATGAACTCTTATATAGTCAGACCGTGAATGCTATCAGCAGATGAAAATAATAAATTTAAACTGCAGAAGATAATGCATTTCTTCCAAAATGTGTTGACGGGCACCTGGGTGGCTTAGTCAGTTAAGAGCCTGACTTTGGCTCAGGTCATGATCTCGCGGTTTGTGGGTTTGAGCCCTGCATCAGGCTCTGTGCTGGCAGCTCGGAGCCTGGAGCCTGCTTCAGATTCTGTGTCTCCCTCTCTCTGCCCCTTCCCCACTCATTCTCTCTCTCTCAAATAAAACCTGTAAGAAATGTGTTGACAGAATTGTTACAGTATAGTATGAAATTAACTATAAGTACCACTGTATACTATTTGTTGTTAAATCTATACTTAGTGATGGTACAGAAACATTCATGATAGAAATAAATCACCAATTCAAGATTGGAGTTACCTCTGTGAAGAAACGTGTGGAATTAGTGTCAGAGAACTGTACACAGGGGTTTCAACTCTATCTAATGTTTATTTCTGTTTAAAACTATATGCCAAACATGGCAAAATACAATGATTTTAATAAAATTGGGTAGAGATACTTGGGTGTTGATTTTATTATATATGCTTTTCTGTATATTTCTCAATTTTTAATTGTGTGTTCATTTTATTATATATGCTTTTCTATATATGTCTTAATTTTAAATTGTGCGCTTGATTTTTAAAAAGATGGGGAAGGTTTGCAATAAGGGACCTTCTAGTTAGTCAAAAATTTGTGTAATTTACTGTGATGGACTACTCTAAGGAGAAAAACAGAAATGCAACCATTTTTTTTTTCTGTTGTTTCAGACACATGTATGACCACTTCGTTAACCTCTACCCACAGCTGATTGAGAAACCTTCCATCGTGGATAAAGTGCAAGATTTTATAGAGTATGTATAATAGCTTTCCTCTTGTTGTTCACACTACAGGGCCTGAATCTGTCATTGCAAACAGCAGTTTTTCCTTCGCCAATGTCCTTTTCTGGCTCTTAGGCAAGACTCCAGAGCTGGTCTTGTAGTAAGGTATAGCACTTTTTGGTAATGACGTGAAAACTGGCTGTCCTCTACAGCATGCCCACACAGCATGTCCTCTAACTTGGGCTCATTCAAAGGTCACATTGAATATCATTATCGGCTGCCGGCACAGCTGGAGGAAGCCACCATGAGAGTAAGGAAGGCAAAGTTAAATGCCTGGACTGCCTCCACCTAAGGGCCCCACTCCTTTAGGGATCACCGATCCTCCTCCCTAAGGTACTTCGGTTTCATGGGCCTGGTGACTAATCCTAGCTGAGGTACCAGCTGTTATCTAGTCCTAATTCACAACATAACTCTGAAAACATTTCCATTTTGATAAAGTTTTGATAAAGCTTTCTGAAGCTAACAATTCTCAACATTCAGATTTCTTTTCTATTTGTTTTATATGTGGGATTTGTTTTATGTTTGTGGCTGTGATTAACTTGGGGACAAAAGGACTCTGGTTTGACCCTCCAAATCATACACTAAGCAACCCCTTCATCAAATCTAACGTCCTGCAGAGGATCATTAAAAATTATTGGACTAGATCCCATGAAGCAATGACCTTGTATTCTAAGATTGATATAGAGAGGCTCTGGGTGGTTCGGTCAGTTAAGCATCCGACTTTGGCTCAGGTCATGATCTTGCAGTTGGCAGGTTTGAGCCCCACGTTGGGCTCTGTGCTGACAGCTCAGAGCCTGGAGCCTGCTTCATATTCTGTGTCTCCCTCTCTCTGTGCCCCTCCCCTGCTCATTTCTCTTTCTCTCTCAAAAATGAATAAACGTGGGGCGCCTGGGTGGCGCAGTCGGTTAAGCGTCCGACTTCAGCCAGGTCACGATCTCACGGTCTGTGAGTTCGAGCCCCGCGTCAGGCTCTGGGCTGATGGCTCAGAGCCTGGAGCCTGTTTCCGATTCTGTGTCTCCCTCTCTCTCTGCCCCTTCCCCGTTCATGCTCTGTCTCTCTCTGTCCCAAAAATAAATAAACGTTGAAAAAAAATTTAAAAAAAAATGAATAAACGTTAGAAAAAAAAGTATTTAAGATTGATGTAGAGATAGCCTGAACAAATCAGAAAAGCTTTCAGTATACAAAGTTATGTCAAATCATAAATTGGAATGTTGTAAGGTCCAGAATTTAAATTACACTAGCATAACTATCTGAATATATAATCTGTAAATGCCTGGGTTGAATTTCGCTTTGGATGAGCAACCATGAAGATCCCTAGTGCAAATCTAATTTCTCTTGCAGGAAGCAAGATCAGTGGACCCGGAAAAACATCAAATATTACAAGGATGACCCATTTTGGAGACATACAGGCTATGTTGTGACACAAATGGATGGATTGTATGTAGGAGCCATGAAGAGGGCTATGTTAGAAAAGACAAAGGTAAGATTTTTAAAACACTACTCAGAATTTATACGGAATGGCAAAAATATTGAGAATTATCTTTAAAATAACAATCTTTCACTGGGTGTTGTATGGAAACCAATTTGACAATAAATTTCATATATTAAAAAATAAATAAAATAACAATCTAACTTAGAAGCAGATCAAATTAGGACTAGCATATTAATTTCTTGTACACAGGCACTATCTTGTTATATTGCTAGCACCTCAGTGTCTGCCATAAAATTCAAGCTTAACACACAGTCTCTTTATCTCTTAATTTCTTTCATAATCCTGTGCTCTGGAGTAGGTTAAAGAATATACTGAATGAATGTTCTGGCTGTTTAACCTAATACAGCTGCTACTTTTGTTGATATAATTTTTAAGGCAAAATGTCTAAATGTACAAATTCTATGCTTCCCACCCTCTACAAAACACACACACACACACACACACACACACACACACACACACGACACATAATAATATCTTGAAAAGCTTTATTGAATAATCGAAGATTCAAAGGTACACTTAATATATTCCCAAAAACTATGAAGATTTTGTTTCCTGGGGGTAATACACACACACACACACACACACACACACACACACACACACACACACTCAACTGGGCATATGTATACACACTGGAAAAAATATACAAAATATAGTTCATAGAAACGTGATGCAAAAAACTGTTAATCATATACACCAAGCCTTACTCATGAGTTTAGAAATGCAAATTAAAACCATAACTGAGACATACTTTCTCACTTATCAATTTGGCAAAAGTTCTAAAATGTGAATGTATACTCTGTTGGCAAGGCTAAAGGTGAAAAATACTGTTAAGAATTCTCAAAATATTGGTAGGAATACAAAATGGTATATTCCCTATGGAGAGAAAATTAGGCACTCAGTACCCAAATCATATGCTCATTTACCCTTTGATCCAGCAATGCCAGTTCTAGGATTATCACAAAAGTTCAGTATGGCATATGGGCCAGCCTTGTCATTGCAGATAATTTGTAAGAGCAAAAGACCAAAGACAACCAAATACATAGAAGACTGGCTGTGTAAATGACATAGCTGTAAACAGGAATGAGGGAGATCTCCAAATACTGCTACAGGGTAATGTTCAGGATCTGTTATTCTGTTATGAAGTATAAAAAAGTGGGGTGCCTGGGTGGCTCAGTTGGTTAAGCACATGACTTCGGCTCAGGTCATCATCTTGCGATTCATGGGTTTGAGCCCCATGTCGGGCTCTGTGCTGATAACTCAGAGCCTGGAGCCTGCTTTGGATTCTGTGTCTCCTTCTCTCTCTGCCCCTCCCCTGCTCACATACTGTCTCTTTCTCTCTTTCTCAAAAATAAATAAACATTAAAAAATAATAAAAATAGTAAATAAATAAAAAAGTAAGGTGAAGACCAGTGTAAATTATTTGCTACTTTTTACATAAGATATGGAAATAAGATAGATGATGATAGAGAGATGGATAGATTTGCTTAATTTTCCAAGAACAAACAACAATGAAACAATAAACCCAAAACTAAAAAAAAAAAAAATTACCTATAAAAAAAGAAGAAAAGAAAGTGAAAGGGACAGGAATGAAAGGTACATTTCTCTGAATGTATCTTTATACATTTGACTTTAGAACCATGTGAATGCTGTTCATAACTATGAAACAAAATTTAATAACATAGAAGAAAAACAGTCCCTAAAATCTTAAAATGAATGGACATGAATATGTCTAACTATATGTCAAGTTGATAGCGTAACCATGCAGACAGCAGTTATTTCCAGTGACCGGAACACAGTTACTAGGGTACATCCTTAATGGGATAGATTCTAAGGACAAGAAGAACCACCAAAACCAAAATAAACCTTAAACTGTATCCAGTAATGTCACTTTAGCAATAATATTGATGTTATCATTTTGAAATTTGATACAGTTAGATATAGTAGCTAACTATAAAGCAAATATATTTATAAAACAAATAACTATGTTGACTATCAAGATTTTCAGCATAAGAAAAATCAGTGAAGTCAAGACCTTGTAGTTTTTAAAGTTGTATAGGTAGGAAATCATTACTTTTAGCTTCCTTAAAAAAAAAAACGCATAGTTTCTTGCTTTGCCCCTTGAAAAGGCTTAGAAATAGTGAGAATAGCATTGACCCCGTAGCACTGAGCATCATCCCCTAGGAGACTATGGCTTAGGGCAAGCAACAGCATCTCAAACAAAGCAAAAAAAACACTAGCCGTGAAGAAAAATATAAATTCAGCTAATTAAAATAAACTTCTTTTCATCAGAACACACTATATAGAAAGGGAAAAGATAAGCTACAAACCAAGGGAAAACATTTGAAATACATTTAAAAATTTTTTTTCAACGTTTTTTATTTATTTTTGGGACAGAGAGAGACAGAGCATGAACGGGGGAGGGGCAGAGAGAGAGGGAGACACAGAATCAGAAACCGGCTCCAGGCTCCGAGCCATCAGCCCAGAGCCTGACGCGGGGCTCGAACTCACGGACCGCAAGATCGTGACCTGGCTGAAGTCGGACGCTTAACCGACTGCGCCACCCAGGCGCCCCTTGAAATACATTTAACCAGCAAAGGATTTGTATCTGAAATACACAAAGAACAAATAAATTTTTAAAAAGAAAATACCCAGTTGAAAAATGGGCAATGGGCAAAATTATCAGCAGGAATTTCACAGGAAAGGAAACCAAAATGGCCCATAAGCATGTGGAGAAATGCTTAATTTCAAAGAAATATATATTAAAACCTCAATGACATCCTATTACACACCAGGAGTGGGGAATCTTAACCACTACTGGATTGAGTAAATTGTCCCAACTGCTTTGGAAAAGAATTGGATGTTACTCAAGACATTTAAAGACGATACATATTCTACAACCTGGCAAATCCAGAGATTAACGACATTCTTGCCCATGGGGGGCGGGGGGGGGTCCACGTACATAAAAGTTCACAGTACCATTATTTTGCTACAAACTGGAAATATCCCAAATGTTCATAAGTATATCACGATACTATATACCCTTATATGAATGAAGATGAATGAACTGTTTCCACACTACCAACATTGATACATGTCCAAAAAAATCATGTTGAGCAGAAGAATGCACACAATATGATTCTATTTGTACAAACTCAAAAGCAAGCAAATTTAAAAATAGCCTGTCTATGGATGTGTACATAGATGATAAAGTAACAGAAAAGAGGGTAATGAGCCATAGTGCTTACTACTGATAAATAAGGAAGGACAGAGATGAGATTGGAGGTTTCTGAGGCACAGCTAATGTTCTATTGCCCAAACTGTGAGATGGGTTCATTAGTGGTCTTTTTCATTATTTCTTCTTAAATTGTGCATATGATCTTTATCCTTTCATAAGTATGATATCATTCTTAAAAATAAAGGCAAAAAATTAAAGGCAAATTAAAAACTGGAAAATAATATTTGCAATTCATATCAAACAATGAACAAATCTCCCTAATATTTAAAGAACTCCTAGAAGTTGATAAGAAAAAGAATAAGAAAAATAAGTAAGGCATATGAACAGTTCACACACACAAAAAAAATTCAAACGTTTTTTAACATGCTCTGCCTCACTCACTCATAACAAAAGAATTGCTAAGGGGCATCTGGGTGGCTCAGTCAGTTGAGCATCCAACCCTGGATTTAGGCTCAGGTCAGGATCTCGCATTTCGTGGGTTCAAACCGTGCATTGGGCTCTGTGTTGACGGCTCAGAGCCTGCTTGGGATTTTCTCTCCCTCTCTCTCTGCCCTTACCCCACTCCTCAAAGTCAATAAATAGGCTTTAAAAAAAAAAAAAGGAATGAGGTACTGTTTTTCACCTATCAAATTAGAAAAAAAAAAACTCAATGTTTAATATGCCATTGAGGCTGTAAGAGTGTCTGTTGAAATAAGCCCTCTGTAGACAACTTGGCAAAATATTTATTAAAATCAAAACTGCCTCTAGGTATCTATCCTACACAAAGACTCACACACATATGAAATGATGTGTCCAAGATTGATTTTTGTAACACTGTTTATAATAGCAAAAGACTAGAAACCACAGGAAAGTCCATCAGTATAATACTGGTTAACATATAATGTATCTGTTCACTAAAGTCCTGTTCAAGAGAATGAGGAAGATTTTTACATCTAATTATGGAAAATTCCTCCAAACAAGTGAAAAATATGAAGAGAGAAAAATCAAAGACTGAAGCATATAATACACTACCATGTGTTTAAAAATGTATTTATAAGACACTGTAGAGGCACCTGGGTGGCTCAGTTGATTAGCCGTCCAACTTCAGCTCAGGTCATGATCTCCCAGCTCGTGAGTTCGAGCCCCGCGTCGGGCTCTGTGCTGACAGCTCAGGGCCTGGAACCTGCTTCAGATTCTGTGTCTCCTTCTCTCTCTGCCCCTCCCCTGCTCACGCTCTCTCTCTCCTTCAAAAATAAATAAACATTAGAAAAAAAAAAATTTAATGTATCCATAAGACACTGTAAAAAGTCTAGAAATATACACAGAAATCAACACAACAAAATTCCACTATAAATCTCATTATAATTTTTTAAATCTTTAATAATGCAAGTGTTATATAGTCAAAGAACAAAAAAAAAAAGAGAGAGAGAATATGTGTATAAACAAATAATCAGTTTCTGGTTTTCGCTTTTGTTTTTTTGTTAAAATGTCATTTGTGTTTGTCTTGTCACCAAGTCCGCCTAAAAACCAATTTTTCTGGGGCGCCTGGGTGGCGCAGTCGGTTAAGCATCCGACTTCAGCCAGGTCACGATCTCGCAGCCCGTGAGTTCGAGCCCCGCGTCAGGCTCTGGGCTGATGGCTCAGAGCCTGGAGCCTGTTTCCGATTCTGTGTCTCCCTCTCTCTCTGCCCCTCCCCCCTTCACGCTCTGTCTCTCTCTGTCCCAAAAATAAATAAACGTTGAAAAAAAAAACAATTTTTCTGTAAGATGCTCGGCACCTGGCTACTCTGGTGGATTAACTCTTGGTGGAGCAGGGCTCTCTAGCACTAAGTTCACGTTCAGGTCTGACCATTGCTTTGGGGTAAATGTCAAGTCAGTTAGTTCTACATTAAACACACAAAATCAAAAAGCGTCATGGGGCGCCTGGGTGGATCAGTTGGTTGAGCATCTGACTTCGGCTCATGATCTCGAGGTTCATGAGTTGCACCCCTGCACAGGGCCCTGCGCTGACAGCTCAGAGCCTGGAATCTGCTTCAGATTTCGTCTCTCGCTCTGCCCCTCCCCTGCTCATGCTCTGTCTCTGCACCCTCAAAAATGAGTAAACATTAAGAAAAATTTTTTAAAAATAATAAGTCAAAAAAAAAATTAAAAAGTGTCTTGGTTGAATATTTTGCTGTAAAGCAGTGATTCTCAACTGTGAGCAATGTCCCTCCAGGGCAGAGTTGGCAATGCCTGGAGACACTTTTGGTGATCAAGACTGGGAGAGGCCAGGGATGCTGCTAAATAGTTTACAATGCACAAGCCCCCCAAAAAGAATTATTTGGCCCTAAATATCACTAGTGTTTTGGGTATCAACACATGCTAAAGCATCTCTTATAAACCCTAAGATAATAGCTATTTTATAAGCTACGAGAAAATCGAATGCATTTGTTACATTAGGGACCCTTGGCAAAGGAATAACCGAGGGTATCCCTGACAATGGGGAAACTAGAAAATGGCGTCCTACTGCCACAAATCACTGTTAAGAGTACTGTTTGTCTCTCCCCAGCCTATGACCCTGTTCCAGATTCAGTTCCTGAATGCCATTGGAGATCTGTTGGATCTGATTCCCTCAGTTTCTCCCACAACAAATTCCAGCTTGAAGGTTTTTAAGAGATGGGACATGGGACATTGCTCTGCCCTTATTAAGGTGAGACACAAAGCCGCCTCTCTCTTTCCTTGTTCTGGAACACACAGACTTTTTCCATATGGCAGCCCAAGTGTGGCAACATCTCATCACCCCTGGCTACAGCCCTATTATCAGCTTATGGCTCCTCTGTCTAGAAGTTAAGAACAGGAAGAAACTGATGGAGGGTGTTGGAAGTACATGATGTTAGCTCTGTTTCTTCCACCATTCCTCCCGTGCTATGTGAACCTGCCCCTCCCCCTCCCACAGTCTTCCCTTCTGGATGCTTGAAGGATAGAGTCTGTCTGTTTTTGCGCACATTAAAGGTGAATTTTGTGCTCTTGGCCATATTTCCCGATAATAAATACGGCAGTGAATAGCGAAATTGACACAATTGCTCTATGCTTCCTACACTTGTAGTCAGTTATCTGTATACCTCTGCATCATTCACTATGATTCTGGCTGTAGGTTCTTCCTGGATTTGAGAACGTCTTTTTTGCTCACTCAAGCTGGTACACGTATGCAGCCATGCTCAGGATATATAAACACTGGGACTTCAACATCAATGATAAAGACACGAGCAGTAGTCGCCTCTCTTTCAGCAGTTACCCAGGTAAATAAATTTCGAGGGACAGCTGAGTACTTGGAGTACTATTTCAGGATAAAACCTTGGTGATTTGGAGTAACCAGAATGGGGGAAGAAATCTTTAGGGGTTGGTATACATTAATGACGATTGATTTTCTGAATGCTTTTTGAAGAAATATAGCTCTAATGCTTCTATTTAATAGAATCGTGTGATCAGTTAATAGGTGCCAAAAATTGAGTTCAACAAATGCCAACTGAGGTACAAGGCATTTTCCGAGGCTCTGCAGTGGAAGCCAAGATAGGCAAAAGAGATCCTGCTCTCAACATCTCCTTGAGGGTTTCTTTCTCTTATTCGTCACAACATCCTCAGAACTTAAGCTAGTGTTTGGCACCTTGTAACTTAATCAATTTTTGCTGAATGGATGGATGAATGTGTAAGCTTCCAAATCCTTACACTAGCAAGATAAGTACAATACAGATAATAATATTACTGGGTACTGTGTGGGCTACAAAAAATATGCAAGGAATGTTGTGAGTAATCAAAAGACGGTCAGCTCACATTGGATTGTTGGGGAAGGAAAGAGAGGATGACACTTGCCATGAACCATCAGTGATGACTTGAACTTGAACAGGTGGACATGGGCGGGAGGGACAGCCTCTGTGGAGTGGGAGTTACAAGCTCCTTTCTTAAAGGGGCCAGGCGGATGAGGTAAAATGAATAAAGGGTGGGGGGCGTGGTATAAGAAAATGAAAGTGAAAACAATTGTAGCAAACACAAGACCCCTTGGAAGGCGGCCACCTGCTGAGCTCCCACTGACTGTTGTCACCCAGCAATATGGAAGTCAGTGTTGCCAGATCCTCCAACTTCTGAAGACAGAAATATGGATATAATGAATAAAACCCACTGTGTGAACCCAACAAAGCATGTCTGCTAGCGGGAATGACGCCCTCAGCTGCAGGTTTGCAACCTTGTCAGGGAACATCATGGGTAAATGCAAGAGGAAAATTCTCACCAGACATATAAGAGTCCAGCATGGATACAAGGTGGACACTTTTGACCTTTAATTATACACTTGTAATTTACAAAGTGGTTATACCAACCAACGGTTGTATCTATCTACCTTTGTCAGAGTATTATTGCCCTTTCTGGTATTATTGTTCCTGGTATTAATACCTTCCTATTACGAATTCTGATCAGTGGCATAACTCAATATTTTTCTGTCCTTATCACCTCATCCTTCCTTTGAAAACACTTCGGTTTCTTCTTCGTCATTGCTTGCTTAATTTTTTTAGTATTGAGGGGGACTTGGGACTCCTCTCTTGGAGACAGACCGTGTTTTGATTCTTTGTGTTCCTTTAGACTGAAATTTAAGGACAGCAAGAGACTGAGGCTAGTCAAATATTCATATTCTTCTTCTTACTTGCAATAAAATGCAATGTTCAGATGTTACCTGCACTGCTTCAGAATGTCTACAGAATAGTGTTTCTCTGTAGTCTTAACAATCCTGGATTCCAAAGGTAGTGATGGGGAAGGAAATGGAGGGATTTCCTATAAAATGTATAACTCTGTTGACATTTGCATATATGTACATATCTTTCCAGAATAGGTAGATACATAGATAATAGAGATTTTTTAGAGCATTTAAACTGAGAGAAAACAATACTTTTCTTTTTTTTGACCCCAACATGTTTTTTACAGGAGCTGGTATAGCAAAGTGATTCATATTTTCTTTAACTGGACAGTTTTATTCTCAACAGAAAACATGAAAAACGTGTAGGATCTTATTTCTATTACAAAGAATTGTTCAACTGAAGGATCAGCTGCATTGGATTCATCCAATACATATGGAGCTAAACTTTGCCATGAACTTCATACCAGAACGAAGCTCGGTGGCTTGTTTTGTTTATTGTTGTTTTTGGTGGAGGAGATTGAGTGGATTAGGAGTGCGGTGTCAGTTAGGTCATGGAGGCTTTCGTGATATGAGCAAGGATATTAAGAATTACTGAGACAGAACAGAAATGGCAAGTCATGAAATATTTGTGACTTGGCTGAGGCACATGTTAAACATGACAGTAACTGGGATGGTACAGATACCATTATCCTAAAGATACAAATAACTCTGAAGAATTCAAATGCACCTATCCATACCTTTACACTATATCATGACACCATTGCCCAATTCTGTAGAAGTGACCACCATGCACCATTATTGGCATGACAAACACTAACGCTTCAAGACACAAAGACATTTTTTTTGTTTTGAGGTTTCCAAAAAGGAAAATGGTAGACCTCGGACAGCTGCTAAACTTCCACAACGTATAAAATCTATTTTACTTTGGTGAGCCTCAGCTTTTTTTATCTGTAGGATGAGACTAATATAAAGGCTTACTTCATCAAGTTGCAAACATTATGTAATTTACTTATTCATCTACAATTTTCTTTAAAAAAAATTTTTTTTTAACATTTATTTATTTTTTTGAGACAGAGAGAGACAGAGCATGAACAGGGGAGGAGCAGAGAGAGAGGGAGACACAGAATCCAAAACAGGCTCCAGGCTCTGAGCTGTCAGCACAGAGCCCGACACGGGGCTCGAACTCACAGACCGTGAGATCATGACCTGAGCCAAAGTCGGACGCTTAACCGACCAAGCCACCCAGGCACCCCTCATCTACAATTTTCTATGAAATTGCCGTGTTAGGCAAAGTATGTATGATGAGAAACAGGACAGATACAGATCCTATTCTAACAAAATTTGCATTCTGGTGAAAGATAGAGACACAGTTTTAAAAAACGATTAAAGTGTGGTTTGTGTAATACTAGGGAGGACTAGTTTGGAGAGTTTGAGATAGCTTCCAAGAGAAAGTAAAATGGAAGTTGAGGCACAAAGACAAATGTAAGTTGGCCAGCAAATGGGGACAATGGGGTGATGATGTTCCATGTGGAACAGACAGCATGTATAAAGGCCTGTAGGCAAGAAAAAAAGTGGAGAAGGCCAGAAAGAGGGAATGGGGGACAATTCAAGACCATTAAAGTGATGAGGGGTAGAAGTGACATTCGTAGACTTGCATTTTAGAATTACCTGGTCCACGAGAGAGGACGAGAGAGTCTGCCGACAGGACATTTCGAAGTCCGAGGCAATAATCCAGGTGATTCAAGCCACATAATGTTTTTTAGATGGTCAGTAAATAGGTGCATGGAAGACTGATATCCATCTTCAAGAAGAAAACAGTATCAAAAATGACTGCTGAATTACTATAGCAATTCGTGAATTTCTGTGTGCTCCCACTGTCCTAGCCAGAATCTTTGAGGGGCATTGACCTCATGAGAATTGTCAGAAGGGCACTCCCAGAGCTGTACTCCAGCCGAGAAGAATAGAAGGAACAGTAGTAATCCAGCACCCTCAGCCTTAATCTAAACCAATCTTAATCTAAGTCAGTCCCATGCTCTGTGTTCTCAAGAGCTCCAGGTGACTCTGTAAAACTGGAGGTGGTTATGTCAAGGAAACAAATTAAATAATAACCCCCGTCTTAATCTAGAAAGGATTAGGTGACTTGGTCGCTTGATACTTTCATACTTTTTCAGACTGTTTTTTAAAAACTGAGTAGGAATTTCCTTTACCTTTGGGGAAATTATTTCAGCTGAAGATACTAACATGAAATTTCCTGAGAAAGCCAAAAGTACCCCACAAGTATGCTAGTAAACCTCAGTAGTACCCTTAGGCCCAGGTGAGTGATGTCCCAGCTTTGAAGTGCCTTCCTCAAACTTTTGTAAGTCCCCCTCCAGCGCCCCAAGAACAGCCAAGTTGGCAGTACTGGGATATCCCGGCACTGGCCTGTGTCCCCTGTGTTTTCCAGAAATTTTCAAAATATCCTTCTAGTGCCCAGTACTAGCCAGATGAGCAGAGCCATCCAGGTGAGGCTAAGCTTAGACAGGAACCCATGTGGGTCGTGGTCCTTGGATGTCCCTTTTATGAGAGCTCCTCCCCTCTCCCTCTACCTATATGTGGGTGCAACAAGATGGTGCTCATCAACATGAGGAGCTCTGGGACTCAAGCCTATGAGGTAGTCCTGGTGAGTAGATCCTTCCTGTTGGCCCTCACGGTATATTTTCTGCATGACCAAGCTGACAGAATATTAGCGACATGATGATTTGAGGTGGCCCTCATGTTAGACACAGCATGTGTTCAGGGCTCTAGGCTATCGAAGGCTGCTCTTACCCTCAAGCTTATGCATGTATGTAGACCTCTGCTTTCGCCTTGTTCTCACTGGCACGGCCCTGCTTCCTGAGGGCAAAAGAGGAAGCAACAAGTGAATTTACTGTGTGTAGCTCCAGTATTGGTCCCCTGGGCAGTCACCTCACCCCCTACAGGTTCTGTCCCTCGTGTTCGTGTTCTGCAGTTCTCTGAGGAAGGCCGGGCCCGGCCCTCACAAAGGCTTTTGAGAATCTTGCTCTGCGACACAAATAGGCCTTTGCAGCAGGTCTCATGGTTTCTGTGGAGCAGGACTTTAGATTAGGGCACAAGTGAGGATGGCTTGTCTCTACTTCTCTATATCTGGGGCTTCTGCCGAGGACTCAAAGAGTGAGGGGCTGAAATCTATGATAGCTTAACTGAAGCTAGAGGATACACTTCCAAGGTGACTCACTTACATGGTTGACAAGGTGACATTGGTTCCCCTCTACTTAGGCGTCTCCACAGGACTGCTGCAGTAATCTCATGACGAGATGCCTGGCTTGCCTCAGACCAAGTGATCCAAAAGAACAAGACAGAAGCAGCAATGCCTATTATGACCTAGTCTCAGAAGTCATCTATTGTTACTTCCACCACGTTCTATTCTTTAGAGGCACAATAGTATGATCAGCCCACACACAAGGAAAGGACATCAGAATCGATCTTTTAAAGGGAAGAGTGTCCAAGAATTTGTGGACATTTTAAAACCTCCCCAATAAAGAAACATAATATTTTTATATATTTCCTGTGTATCCTAAGACTTCTCTAAATTCACTTGTCAGTTCTAACAACTTTGTA